CATGTTGGGCCTAAGGGAAGAACTCTTATGTTTTTGCCCTTTCTCCCACCCCATCCCTCACCAACAGTATTCCAGTATTACCTGATATTACAAGTAAATGAGTAATATACATGGTATACTTTTACTTTGATACCCTCAAGAAAGCTCACCTCCCAGTATTCAGGTCTCTTCCTATACAATCCATACTGGGTCATGTGACTAGCACTGGCCAATGGAACATTAGCAAGCACAAAGAACACACAAGCTTAATAAGTACTGGCACACTGGGGCTTGGAAAGCTCCCTCATAGAACACAGCTGTCATGCTATGAAGAAGCCCAACTTTCTTCAAGTGGAGAGGCTATGTAGCAGGAAGGAAAGAGGAAGACAGGAAGATGCCCAGCTATCTACGAGCTGTTCTAGCCATTCCAGCTGAGGCACCAGATTTATAAGTTAAGAAGCCACCTTGGACATTATAGCCAACAGATGACACATGGAATAGTTTCCATCAAGCCCAACTCGAATTTTAAATCAAGAGCAAATACATAATTGTTGTTTTAGCAACTAAGTATTGGAGTGCTTTATTATACAGCAGTAGATAACCAAAACAATTAGAACTGTTCCTGTTAGGCAGTAAGCAATCGAAAAAAAAAAAAAATGTCAGTGGTAATAATTATTATTAGTAATTATTGAAAACACTTTCCCCCAAAGGTACTCTTTTGGGTATTTGAGCATTCTTAAAGGCATTCTGCTCATTTCCCTAATAGCCAGAAAAGATATAGGAGTAAAGCAATCAGAAAGGCCTACTCTTCATTTTCCTCTTCTTATTCCTAATTTACAGCTGTCCTTTTTATCTTTGTCAATAATGTTTGTCTGGTTTCCTCAGAGTGGCTAATCAATGATCCATACCAATTCTAGCCTTTGGTTGTGCTCAATACCTCACTAACTACAAGCAGCCCCTTCAACCTCGCTTCTGACCACTGGTAAATAATTAAGAGTTCAGTAAAACACACTCTTCACGAAGGGTTGAAAGTTTATATTCATTCAATTCATAATTCTTTTTTACTTGATAGAATCATTAGGCGAAGGGCATCAGAACCAATCACCTCTTGCTCAGAAAATAAGCTAAGCACCAGGAAAAACATACCTGCTACTTTTCCTCAAAAAACTTACTGATCCTGATCATATAAATTTCTTGTTCTTTTAAGCCCCATGACCCTTTGCTCATACTTCACTCATAATATTTATCTTAATCTAGCCTGAATCATGGTTATTAGTTTATTTAACTTCCTACTAGATCTAAAACTCCCCTGGAAGAGAGACTCATTGAGAAAAGGGGCATTTTATTCATTGTAACCCTTGAAGCACCTACTACATTTCTCTACTACTCATACAAATACAGTAAAAATATCTGAGTCCTGGTCAGCAACCACTCTGTCCATAACTAATCTTTGTAATTCTCATCCCAATTTTTATTAAGAAACAATGACTTACTCATAGTTATAATGCAATCAGTGGCAAAGTTAATGAATGCTACATGTTCTAACATTAACCTTCAGCAATTATTTGACTTAATTGAAAATGGTTTTATTTTTATACAGACAGCAAAATGATTTTTAAGGAAAAGAAAGCTACTATTTATATTCCTTATTTCCTTCTTCTTCAAGTTTCAGGCTTGAAAAAACTGAATATTAGGTCCAGGGTAAGATCTAAGTCAGATGCTAGACAAATACTGTAATATCCAAAGCAAAGCAGCCCTGGTATAGACTACAGCAAACTGGAGCGCTCAGTACCCACTGTTCAGCTCTAATAATCTCCTCTCAAGCAGGAATGGCCACCAAGTATGGCCAAGCCCTGTGATTTTTCAAGAGATGCTAGAAATCAAGACTTCTTAAATGTGAAGTCTTCCTATTTTTAAATGGTGACACCTAATTATTAAACGTGCCAAATGCACCAAGAGCAAGCAATGTATATTTGTGGGTTGGATTCTTACTAAGGGCCTCCTGCTACTGCAGGCTCACAGTTAAAAATCTCTCTATAATTGAAGGCATACTAGGGAGAAGGTGCACTAGGAGGAAACAATACTCCTTTACCACCACCCCTCACCCCTACAGAAGAAAGAAAAAAATAATAAGGACCACGAAAAGCAGCTCCATAAAATTAGAGTATCTACCAGTGACAAACTCCTTTAATTTAACCTTTTCTCTCTTTTCAAAAAGAAATTTGTTAGTAGTTTTAGATAGAATTAAATGAAGAATCTTTTGTAGCAGAAAAAAATGAGAATTTTTTTCTTTATAAAATTTTTTCTCAAAACCTGCAAAAAGGAAAATATTCAGATAAATGTAATAGTCCAAATTACACAAACCTTTCCAGCCTTAACCAAACTAATGAAAATGCTCAGTAATAAACATGAGAACTAATGATTCACCATGCAAACAGAAAAACAAGGTACAAGATACTAACAGTTTTAGTATATTTGCATTGGTCTATCTACATATTGTTACTTAACTCTCTTGTGATCGACAGTACAAAACTAGTTAGAAACAAGGTTGAACTCCCTGATCAGGGAACCCTAGTCTAACAAAACACAGACTCAAGCCTATGACCTAAACCTCCTTAATACCACACGATAAATAAATAAGGTGTGACCAATTACTAGACAACATTTCTTCAATACTTTTACAAAAGATACGACGTTATTTAACGAAGTTTCAAAGGCTTTTCCCTTCCATTTTAAAATAAGAATTTACAGAGAACACTTGATTTCACCTCTAAAACTGTTTAACCTACTACTGGAAGCCCTTATGAAGTTAAAATGAAATTTTTAATAGAATTAATCACGATAGGCTTGCCTTTGGAGTTCAAAACATTCTCTAAAATAGTAATTAATGAGGGAGACCCTATACCAAAGGAATTAGTAGGCAATTTAATGAAAACAAAATTATATTATAGTTTGGGGAGGGGGACTATTTATTTATTGAACACTTACTATATGCCAGGCACTGCTGAATACATCAGGGTTCTCATTAAATCTTAAAAACAACCATATGAGGAAGGTACCATTATTATCCCCATTTTACAGATGGGGAAACTGACCTTTCCAAGATCACACAGCTAGTAAGTGGCAGAGTCAGGATTCCAACCCAAATCTTGTCTAACTTCAGAATTTGCACGCTTAACCACTACACTGTATTGCCTCCAGTGACTCTGGGTTGATATCTAAGATAAAAAAAAGAGGGAAATTTGTACTTCTCAGAAGTAAATTTTATAAACACACTAGAAATGGAGGGTAGTTTTTAAAACATGAACCAAGTCTCATATATACAGTCATACAAACATTATTTTTATTCCCAAATATATATAATAATGGTGAAAATCTCAGACAATAGACCTCTCACAAACACTTCTCCTAAGTATTCAATCATGCTTATTATTAAAAATTTAATGGGAACACTCTGTACTTTCCTCTCAATTTTGCTGTGAACCTAAAACTACTCTAAAAAATAGTGTATTAAAAAAATTATGAACTACAATATCCTAGATATGCCTAAGTCAATTCGGTTCTAAACTGACATTAAGACTAGATTCTTTCAATATGAACAGTTGCATTCTATTTATTATAACCACAGTACTAAGCGTGCAGTGGGCATTCAATAAATATTTAACTGATTTTTTCAAAAGCAATGCTGTAAAACTGGAATTTTTAGCACTTCCAGAACACTCCCCAAAATTTTGCAATACATAGACATGAAATTAGTTGAAATACAGTTAGACCAAAAAATTGAATTCTACTGAATAATATAAAAGGAGTACAACATGGCTGAAATAAATCAGACTAACTTTATTTTTCCACCTTAAGTATCAAAAGATGTAGCCTTAAGTCAAAAATGGATTAGTATTACAGAATCTTCTCCTAATTAGTTTCAGTCTGTTCTAAATCCTCTAAAGCAGCTTACCCCAAAAAAACTTGGAATTGTCCACAGTGACTGTCAACATATGAACCAAATCTTTTTTTCCTGATACTCACCAAGGTTGTTGAAATTCTAAGGGTCTATTAAGACTGATTCAAGAGATCTATTAAACGAGTTTTGCCTATTATTACCACTTCTCATCCCAATCTTTTGCTCTTATCAAGGACCACTGTTACACACACCTAAGTTCACATAAGAGAACAAGTAAGGAGATACTAACTTATTTGAAAAAAGCCATTTATCCTGTATATCTCGCAGTAAATTATCAAAATTAATTTTCAAGCAAAATACTGCTCACCAACAAAAAGTGCTGACGAGAAGCACTATTACAGTAATACTATTATAGTATTATACTATTATAGTTTTATTTCATTATTGTACTTCTAAAGTCTCAACTGGGAAAACATTACATGAATATTAATAAAAAGGAAGTCTAGAAGATACAGACATCCCTGGAGTATGGGCCCTTAATAACACCTGTAATTCACAGAAGTCCTTTCTCTCTGATCCATGTTTTCATAAGTGATCCAAAGACTTTTCTGCATCATTATGCTTTCAGTAGACAGAAGCTGAAATGTGCAGTGCAACAAAAACATTCTGACCAATGTATTTTTCAAATTATATTAACATAGTACTCTTTTAAATACTTGTATTCAAAGCTTCTCACTAACCATCTAGCTTTATCAGGGAACACACACAGGTTAATATAGACTGTGACTGCCTAGGTAGCTGCAGCTTGGCTGCATTCTGGGACACCAGCTCAATTTGGAAGGGGCAGAACCATATCCGGTTCTCACTGGATACACTTTTTCCCATGCTTTCCATTTTAAAAACTTTACATCTTCCCAGAGGAGCATTAAATATACGAAGACGCCAGGGAGTAGCATGCCTGTAGGGAAGATGAGTGATCGCATTAAATCTCTACGGATGAAACCTGAAACTTCAAAACTTTTCAGAACATATCATAGCTGAAAGGACAAGGTATGTTTTACTCCATCATTCCCACTTCTTTCCTGGAACCAGCTTCCCCAATCCCTAAACAGCCACTTACTGGTTAGTTGGAGGAGCAGTCAGCGGTATGGCCACCTCTTCCTCCTCGTATTCTGGTCCATCCAGAGAGTCACCTTCATCCACGGTCCCCAGGCCCGCGCCCAAAGGGGGCAGCGGAGGAGGCGGCGGCAAAGGGGGGAATCCGGCGCCTGGCCCAAGAGTCTCAGCAGGCAACGAGGTGGTCATCTTGGTGAGCGCCATCTCTCCACTAGGTCCGGCGGCGGCAGCACCAGCCACGCCAGCAGCGGCACCTCCCCCTGTCAACCCGGCTCCCCCAAGTGCCCCCGCCACGGACCCGGTTCCTAGGAACCCTGACCCCAAAGCGGCTCCGCTACCCAGAGTCCCGGCCACTCCGGCCTCCACCAGCCCAGGATAGGGGGCAGCTGCCACAGTCAAGGCCGCGGGTATCTTCACCCGACACACTGCCGGATAGGCACTGGAGCCCGCTGCCGCGCCGCCTCCTCCTGCTCCGGCACTCACCGGGCCGCCCTCCTCACTGCCGGCCTCGGCCGCCATCATGTTGAAGCCCGCTCTACTCTGCCCTACCCTGCCCGCCCGGGAGCCCCGGGGGCCACCAGGCCCGGGCTCCGAGCCGCCCCACCCAGGCGCGTCTCCCCTTCAGCTCCCCAGGCGGAGGAAACAACAACAAAAGGAGAGAGCCCGCCGCCGCGCCCCCTCCTAGGGCCACAGCCCAGGCTCCAGAGCTGCCTGGGTTACGGGAAGCGAAGTGGGCAAAAAACCCAACGCTGCCCAAACCTCACCTTACACACCTACACTCGCGCACACACACATGTACAGAAGCGAAAAACTTCCTGGCTGCACTAAAGAGAAAAGGAAGCACAGGGGAAGCGGCTAAGGCGGCTGCCGCTCCTTCAGCCACCGCCACCGCTTCTTCACCACCCCAGTTCCGGCCACCCCCACCGCAGCCACCGCCGGTGCCGCTGCAGGGGCTGGGGCCACTGCAGCCGCTTCATCCTCCACCAGGCTGGAGATGGGAGGGGTGGGGGGAAGAGGAGGAACGGGGGCGGGGTAGTGGGGAAATCGACCGAACTGCTCACTACCTGGAGCTTTCAGTTAGTGAAACCGGAGAGAGAAAGGAAGGCGGGGCAGGGGAGGAGGGGCGGGGGAAGGAAGGGTGGAAGAGGAGGGAGAGGGCAGTTTCCGCGCAGGCGCGAGGGCGGGGCCGGCCGGGCCTGGAGGGAGGAAAAGGAAGAGTCGGGAGGGAAGGAAGCTGCGGGGACGCGCGGTGCGCGCTCGCGTTTGTTGTCCCAGTCTGGTGCCAAGCGCATGGAGATGCGGCAGCTTCTCCTGTCGGTGTGGCAGTGGCGCGTGCGTGCCTCACGGGGCTTTGTGTGATGGGCAGGAGGAAAAGGAAGAATACCTGAGCATGCGGCCGCTGAGAGCCAGGAAAACTGGAGAGACGAGAAGGACACGGAGGCGGTGGCAAGGAAGGAAGGGGGAAAGGGAAAGAAATGCCTCGAAAACTAGTTCCCTACTTGCTGAGCGTCTTAGCTGGCGGCGCTGAAAACAGACCCAGGCGAGGGGGTGGGGGGCGACTTTGAAGGTGTGGGCAGCATTATTAATGCTTTCCTTTTCGTTTCACGGTAAAAATCACTATAGGACAATTACACAGTAAAAAATGAACTAGATTCTGGAACTCGAGAAAAGAAAACCAAATGGTTAAAGAGGGCCATTTGAGTAGGGTGAAGAATTTTGGTAGAAATAGTGGTTGTGAAGTCAGGTTTCTACCTCTATCTACGTGTTTTGTTTTCTTTACCAACTGTCTCATACACACGTATACCTACGCCATTTCAAGTCTGTTGGATACTAATGAAGAGGTGTGAAAAGGAAGGAAGCCACAGAGGAGACTACAATGCTCTTTTGTCCTCATTTCTGTGCAGAAAACTACGGGCATGATTCACATGCAAGCACCTTCAACAAGTCAAATGTCAAGAATGTCCCAGGATGCTAGTTAAAATGATTATATATAGTGTCAAAAATTATCAATAAATTGAAATCTCACCCTTAATACAGTCAAGAGAGGGGTTTTATTTTATCTTTCATACTAAAATGTATACAAACTATATGTGTTCATATAGATGGAGGAATCATTTCCATTGTTTGAAATTACAATATTGTTCTTGTGTATTAAATTCCTCCCAGGAGGAATACCACATTGAATACCATTGCATATTGATCTTTGAGATCAATATTTTCTCTGCTAAGGATGATCAAATCAACATAGGAGCACATTGGGGATGGCAAAGGGTTATAATAGAAACCCAGGAAAAAGGGAAAAGATCACCAAAAGAAGTCACAAGATGCAGGCAATGCATTTCCTTTGCAAGTTTGCGTAGGCCTATTTACCTAGTCAGTCACAATAATCAAAAAGTCCTGAGGACTCCTTCATTGTGCTTACCACTTATGCAGAGTACCGCCTGGAAAAAGGAAGACTGACTACTCACAGATGCTAGAGTTCTCAGAGTAAACTCAAAGGTGCAACATCCTAGGAATTCATTAGAAATGCCACCCCAGAACCTCTGAATCAGAAACTACGTGGCAATCTATTTTAATGAGCCCTCCAAGTGATTGCTTGCACACTCAAGTTTGAGAACCAATATATTAGAGTATGCTGTAAAGAAGAAGGTATGCAATACCTAAAAAAGGTTCTGAAAGAAAGAATGGATGTCATTCATTAGGTGGGTAGGTAAGAGAAGTGGGTATTTAGTTGCTAAGCATTGTGCTATTCTACACAGGAAGTTAGGAAATGAGAATGAAGTAGTTCCATAATACTTAAGATAACAATGAAGTACTACTTATGGCCTCCCTAAGAACAGTTTTGCTTTTTCTTTTAAACTTAGACCCTCAGAGTTAGACAAGACCATCAAAATACCAACTCTGCCTACTGCCCAATATATGAACCCTAAGTACAACATCCCCAATAAATTTTCACATAGCCTGTGTTTGAAAACCTACAGCATGTTAGCACCCCAATCCTCCCAACACTCCTGCCCTTAGTCACCACCAATCACCCTTAAATGCAGGACATTGGCCTCGGAGTTTGTCACCAGCTCTTGGTTATCACCCATCTTCTCTAAATGCTCACGCAACATCTGTGTGTTACCCGAGAGTCCAGATTAGGCTCACTGCTCTAATTGCAGAATTACTTCCTTCTCCTTGTTTGAAAATTCTTTAGCACTTAAGGGTCAAGGTCAATATTTAATTGACCTAACACCTATTATACACTAAATATATATTGTTTTCTAGTTACTTTTAGGTGTATGTATCTACAAAACTCTACTGCAAATACAACCTGTGGTTTGTCCTACTCTCTAGCCCAGTTCTAGGCATCCTTGACACGCTACTTTGAGCATATCTCCATCCTTTTAACAAGTACTGGATTAGATCAGCTCACATCTTTGGAAATCAATTTCTCAACTAGTAGGAAGGACCTATTATGTCTATTTGTAAATCAACCTAATACCAATATCTTACCTAATTTATATTTATTTAACCTTAAAGTTAGTACTGTCCTTTTCATCCAAAGAGATTACCACATATTTTTATAAGGTGTTTTCAAATATGTAATATAATCCTATTATTGGACAGATGTAGGCTTTGATCTTTACTATTGCTTGTGTACTTTCTGAATCTCAAATGCGTAGTCTGTTTTTAACGACTTTATTTTTTCCGCAAGAGCTTAATGTGTCTATTGCCATTTTTTCTACTCACCTTGACTTTCTGATCATCTCTAATTTATAGTATCATGTACTCTTTTTTTCCTGCTAATTTCTCCTTTAGTTTCTACTTCTGTGTCTCCCTTTTCTTTTCTTCCAAGCCCCTGAATTTTCTGACATAAATATACTTCTTGAAGTTTTATGAGTCAAAAACTGAAGAACAAGAAAAATAAAACTATGAAATACCTATTTGAAGAGAGGCATTACAGAAATTTTGCAGGAACTGATATTAGGTATGGTGTTATGTAACATCAGTTAACAAAGGGAACTAAACAGTCTTAATTAAATTCACAGATAATATTGAATAGGTAGGTACTAAAGGACAGAACAATACACAAAAAAAGAGGAAAATTCAAAATACATTTTACCCTTAATAAAATAATCTGTTATATTTTTAGAAATTTAGTGAAATTTAGAGAAGTTTCTCTAGATATTGAAATATAGTATTTAAGGAATACTAAATAATAAAAATGCTGGGAAAAGACTTGCATATGAAAAGAAACTGAAAACTTAAGAAAATGAAGTTGGCTCATTCTAGCTTTACTGGCAATTCAAATATGAATGTAAAACATTAAAAAATATGTTAAATTTTGATTCCCTGAGGATGTGGAAAGGTAATTCTGACCCAGTAATAAAACTATAATTTTACAGAACCTCAAGGGGTTTAGAGCAAATACATGAATGGCTTCTGATGGGAGGACTAAGCAAGAAGTGATAAGGAGCTTACAGCTATGTTTGAAGACTTCCAAATCCATACCCAGCTATACAAATACATACTCAGCTATACAAACAGGCTTCCAAGTTTATCTAAATAGTGTCAAAAGGTTTCATTGAACCAACAATTTTGGAAGGAAGCTTTTACTTATAACCCTAATATCCCCACTGCATTTATTGACCTCATCTTCAAAATCTCCAGAGCACAGATTTCCTTATTAGGGAGATCTTTTGAGAAAATAACATTGAGGAGATGCAAGTTAAGGGAAATATTTTAATGATAAAAGAAATAACTCTGCAGGGATTAGAGTATGTGGCATAATAACTAAATAAGATTTATGAAAAATATTAACACCATGGAGAAACTAAAGAATAGTGCAATTTCTGAGTCTGCAAAATAAATTACAAAGGAAGTCATTGGTCACACTTGAAACATTTAAACCTATGTATGGTTAAAGAAGCTTAGAACAGTTAGATCTAAATATCCTGTCTCTTGAAAAATGAAAGAATAGAAAAATGTCTTTATTTTTTATTATTAGTTTATTCCTATTCTTCTGTCTTTGTTTCACAGATATTTTTCATTATTCTTTATAAGAAACTTTCCTCCTTCATTATTTTTAATGTTTTTCTTTACCTATTATTTTCTTCTCACCAGGAACATTTATATGTTTTCCTTTGTATACCTTGGCTGTTACACATGATAGTACCCCATCGTAGAATTAAAAGAAAAAAGGAAATGGAATAATTTCAGGGCAAGGGAAGTAGGGGAGTCAGGGTAGGTAAACTCTCTTCTGTACTTCCCTCATTATTACACTCCTATTCTTGGCATATGTCAGCAACAACTTAAATACCACCTTAAGCATAGTCATGAAATCCAGGTAACCTTTGACTTTTTCACCTCAAGAATCCTGCAAAGTCTCTAATTCAAGTTATATTCTTTGATCTACCTAAAAGTCTCCCAGTAACCCCTTCACCTCCAAATTTAGTTAGCATGTAGAAATACACTGTGCTTTTTAATAATCTTAAAAATAACTATACAATGAAAGGGTTAAGTGTAGCCTTGAGTCAAGATAATTATAGATAAATAAGATGGGAGCTTTAAGTACTTCTAAAGCATTTTAAGTAGTGTAACTTAATTAAAAATAGCTTTCTATGGTATTTCTAACTGTAATTATTTCTCGATTCACATGCTGTTTTGAAGATTTTTCAGTTTGTTATCTTAACAAAACTTTTTTTATTAATATTTTTCAACTTTCTATGTATTCTTTATTTAATTGTTAAAAAGCAATGAAGTATAGCATGTATTTAATAGTATATTAGCATATTGCAGTGATTTCCAGACTTCTGAATGTTATGGACTACTAAAGCTTCACTAAAAACTGAGAGACTGCCGAATTGTTATGAATTTGGCAATTTTGTAAAGTGAGTAGTTTTTTGTTGTTGTTACAATAAAACTACCGTTTCCTGTCACTCTAGTTCACAAA